GTGCAAAGATATAGAGAAAAATAATAAAAAGGGAAAAACCAGGGATCTGTTCAAGAAAATTGGGAGATATTAAAGGAACATTTTGTGCAAAGATGGACATGATAAGGAAGTGGTCCCCAACCTTGGGCCTCCAGATGTTCTTGGACTTCATCTCCCAGAAATCCTGGCCAGCAGAGGTGGTGGTGAAGGTTTCTGGGACTTGTAGTCTAAGAACATCTGGAGGCCCAAGGTTGGGGACCACTGTGATAAGGGACAAAAATGGTAGGGACCTAATGGAACCAGAGGACATCAAGAAGAGGTGGCAAGAATACAAAGAATAATTATACCAGAAAGATCGGGATGTCCCAGACGACCCAGAAAGTGTATTTGCTGACCTGGAGCCAGACATCGTCGAGAGTGAAGTCAAGTGGGCCTTAGAAAGCATGGCTAACAACAAGGCCAGTGGAAGTGATAGCATTCCTTTTGAACTATTTAAACTCTTAAAAGGTGACGCTGTTAAAGTGCTACACTCAATATGCCAGCAAGGTTGAAAAACTCAACAGTGGCCAGAGGACTGGAAAAGATCAGTCTACATCCCAATCCCAAAGAAGGGCAGTGCCAAGGAATGGTCCAACTCCCATACAACTGTACTCATTTCACACGCAGGCAATGTTATGCTCAAAATCCTCCAAGGTAGGCTTCAGCAGCATGTGGGCCGAGAACTCCCAGAAATACAAACTGGATTTTGAAGGGGCAGAGGAACCCGAGACCAAATTGCTAATATGCGCTGGATTATGGAGAAACCCAGAAGAGTTCCAGAAAAACATCAACTTCTGCTTCATTGACTACGCAGAACAAACCATGGCAAGTTCTTAAAGAAATGGGAGTGCCTAACCACCTTATCTATCTCCTGAGAAATCAGTATGTGAGACAGGAAGCAACAGAAAGAACTGGATATGAACAACTGATTGGTTCAAAATTGGTTCGGAGTATGACAAGGCTGTATATTGTTTCCCTGCTTATTTAACTTATGCAGAATACATCATGCAAAAGGCAGGACTAGATGAATCTGAAGCCGGGATTAAGATTGCCGGAAGAAATATCAACAACCTCAGATATACAGATGATACCTATCTGATGGCAGAAAGTGAGGAGGAATTAAAGAACCTCTTAATGAGGGTGAAAGAGGAGAGTGCCAAAAATAGTCTGAAGCTGAACATCAAAAAAACTAAGATAATGGCCACTGATCCCATCATCTCCAGGCAAATAGAAAGGGAAGATATGGAGGCAGTGACAGATTTTACTTTCTGGGCTCCATGATCACTGCAGTTGGGGACAGCAGCCACGAAATTAAAAGACGCCTGCTTCTAGGGAGGAAAGCAATGACAAACCTAAACAGCATCTTAAAAAGCACAGACATCATCCTCTCGAGAAAGGTCTGCATAGTCAAAGCTATGTATGGAAGTGAGAGCTGGACCATAAAGAAAGCTGACCACCGAAGAATTGATGCTTTTGAATTGTGGTGCTGGAAGAGGCTATTGAGAGTCCCCTGGACTGCAAGGACAACAAACCTATTCATTCTAAAGGAAATCCACCCTGAGTGCTCCCTGGAAGGACAGATCCTGAAGCTGAGGCTCCAATACTTTGGCCATCTCATGAGAAGAGAAGACTCCCTGGAAAAGACCCTGATGTTGGGAAAGTGTCAAGGGAAGAGGATAAGTGGACGGCAGAGGATGGGATTGTTTGACAGTGTCATCGAAGCTACGAATATGAATCTTCATTGTGTGGGATATTAGTACAGAATACAAATCCACTTCTGTAATTAATAGCACTGCCTGCAGAGATAAGTTCCAACTCTTGATTTTGCGGATGATTTCAAGGGAACCAGAGTAACCAAGGGTTGTGAGAAACATGCTGTGTTCTAATACAGAGGATGATGATGATGCAGTTCTTACCCCAAATGGATTACTGTCTGAATTTGGTAACCACATTTTGATCAAACTAGTAACAGCCCTTGAATCTAGTAGTGTACAGATTTCTTTTCCTCACAATTTTGTAGTTTTTACATAACATCTGCCATCGCCCTGTTAACATACTACATTTATCACTAAACTGCCAATTTCCCTGATGTTGGTGTTTTACTGTCTCAGCAGTGGGACAACCCTATTGCTGTACACTCGCTCCTCTGATCTCCATTTTCATTTCTTTTAGCTGCCAACTTAAGTTCTGAAAATTAAACATTCTGCTCCCCCATTTTATTAGCTTTCTTAATTTCAGACTTCTCTTCTGGTGGTGCAGTAGAGACCACCTTTCCCTGTTCCCTATCTGTTTGTAGAATCTCCCTTAAAATATGAGTTGTTCAACCATCCCATTAAGGATAGCCTAAAATTGAGTTAATGTAGAGAGAAGAAACAAGGATCCAGGAAATCCTCACGCTAAGACTTTTCACTTTGGTACTAGTGTCTGCCCGCTTTAGAAAAGCAAAGCAATTCTGAAGGCTTTTCTACCCCTTCTATTTTATTCAGAAAAGGGGAAAAAGCAATGTTAGGATTTTCACAACCAAATTAATGAAACCACAAGGAACGTCACCCTCTCCTCCTTCTGGCCATGATGTAGCTATGGTTTTCCTCTTTTCTCATGACAGTTGTAAACAGAGGCAAATCCTTGACTTGATCCCCAGTGAGCTTTCCTTCTGTATTGTACTCCTCATCGTGTCTACTCTTTCTTTCTCCATCAGGTAAGGAACAGGAGAATCAGAATTATATGGGTCTACTTCTTCTGCCACTGAAAAGAAGAGAGGAGAAAGAGTCACTATCACCTGAGTTTACATGAAAGAACTCACATGAAAAAGAGTTATATAAATGCATAGAACATGAACAGAGCGTCAGCATTACCAGTAGCTTCAGTAGACATCAAGAAACTTACACAGGGGAAAAACTATAAACACATGGATTGTAGAAAGAACTTCCGAGTCAGCAGTCACCTTAATTCCCATCAAAGAACTCACACTGGAGAAAAGCTATATCAATGCACAGAATGTGGGAAAAGCTTCAGAAAGAACAGTCACCTCAGAAGACATCAAAGAACTCACACAGGGGAGAAACCATATAAATGTGTGGAATGTGAGAAGAGATTCAGCCAGAGCAGTGCCCTCGGTTTACACCAACGAACTCACTCAGGAGAGAAACCCTATCAATGCATGGAATGTGGAAAGAGATTCAGTAAAAGCAGTACCCTGAATTCACATCAACGAATTCACACTGGGGATAAACCATATAAATGCATGGAATGTGGAAAGAGTTTCAGTCAGAGGAGTGCCCTTAGTTCACATGCACGAACTCATACAGGTGAGAAACCGTATAAATGCATGGAATGTGGAAAGAAGTTCAGTTATAGCAATCACCTGAGTACACATCAAAGAACTCACACTGGGGAGAGACCCTTTAAATGCATTGAATGTGGAAAGAGCTTCAGTTACAGTAGTCACCTTACTTGCCATCAAAGAACTCACACAGGGGAGAAACCCTATAAATGCTTGGAATGTGGAAAGAGCTTCAAGCAGAGTGGTCAGCTTAATTCCCATCAAAGAACCCACACAGGGGAGAAACCATATGCATGCATGGAATGTGGAAAGAGCTTCAGTTACAGCCAGAGCCTTCATTCACATCAAATAACTCACACTGGGGTTCTGGCTTGATGCTGTGATGAAGTACCTGCAGGATGACAAAGCTCTGTGCCCTTGGCTGAATTTGATACCCCCCCCACAAGGTCAAAACCACCCCAAATAAGTGCTGAAATGGGGAAGAAGCCTGTTGATTATGGGGTTACCCATATTTGATCCGGGAAATGCCCCAATCAACCAGCAGCCGGAAAAAAGCAGCTGAATTAGTTTGCTGGTACAGTGGTGCCTTGCTTAGCGATTGCTTCATTTAACGATGTGTTCACTTAGCAATGGGTTTTTTAAAGGAATTTTCCACACTGTTTAACGATATTCTCTATGGGCGATTTTCACTTAACGATGTCCGTTTTTGCTCATTTAAAAGTGTCTTAACATGTTTGAAACCTGTTTTAAATGCTTGGAAACGTTAGTGCACCTTGTAAAACATTTGCAAACTTAATTTAGCTTTGTTCTGAGTCTTCGTTAATTTTTGGTGAATTTTTCCCCCATTGGAATGCATTGAACTGTCCCAGGGGCCAAACACAGATAGAACTGTAGAATCATGGGAAAGTGATGTTGGAAGGGGCTCACGATGCCATCAAGTCCAACCCCCTGCTCAAGGCAAGAGTATAGTGAAAGCAGATCTGCAAAGTGCGGAGCTAAGTTTTTCTTGAATGCCTCCACGGTTGGAGCACTCCAAAATAGTCGAAACATAAAACCCAGCAGGGAGACGGAAGCTGAAGTCCGTACATCTGGGCCCTGCTTGGTAACCTAAATACGCAGAATAATAAGACAAGGAAGTTGGAATACACTTTCTTCCAGACAGTGTCGGGGGAATCCTACAGGAAGGTCATCAAGGGGAGGTGGGCACACCCCAACTATCTATAAGGGACCCATTTGTTTGTTTTCCGCACGTTTATACCCAGGAGGCCAAAACCCCTTACCTGGAGAGACCTTCTTGTTTTCCAGACATCTCAAGGAGGACATCCACGGCCGGAGCTCTCTGGCCTGGATGCAGAAGATCCCATTTTTTTCCTGAGGAAATACAAAGTCAGCTCCTGAAGGAGCACCAGCAGCTGAAAGGGGGAAACCACAAGAAAAGGGGTCTAAAATATTATCCCCTCTGCAGGCTGGGACAGAAGAGGCAGAGGGTCCACACTCCCAATTCAGAAAGGGGGAACTGGGAAGCCCAGAGTGAGTACTTCCTTGACTTTAAAAAAAAAGAAAAGAAACCGATTCGATTCATGGCATCCCATTGCAGTTGGATTTCCCCTTTTTAATTTTTTTCCGCTCCTCTCTCCTGGATCCCCTCCTAGAAGAGCCATGGAAGGCAAACCTGAACTATCCCATTGCAGTTTTGCAGAGAAGAATCCAGGGTCTGTTGTTGTTCTGCCTCTTGAAGAGAAATTCCGTTAGAGAAGCTCCCTTTAGGTGTGTATGAGAGATATCTCTATTTATATATCCCTTTGTTCTTCATCTGTCAGCAAAACAACCTCTTCCCGAGGCTCAATCTGGGTCTTCCTCTGAGGAGACCTGCCCCCCCGACTTTCTTCTGAATCCCGGAGGCCTTGGGGGCTGTAAGAAACAAGAAGAAAAAGGAACTTGGATCTCTCCCCACCCCGTCTTCCCTCCCCCGACACAAGGGCTTCCCCAAAAGTCCAGACCCCCGCTTCTGAAAAAGTGGGAAAAGGGGTTTTAAGGCTGCAACACCCTGGGTGGGAAGCGGGGCGGGGGCTTGGCAGGAGGAAGAGGAAGGTAGGGGGACAGAGAGACAGAGAGCTGAGCAGGAAAGGGTGGCAGAAAAGGGGGGCAGAGGCAAAGAAAGTGGGGGTGCAAAGGTGGAGACTCCAGCCTGGGAGGGAAGAGAGAGGAAACATCGGGGTAGGAGGGGAGGATATGGAAGGGCTTGGCTGGAAGGGAAGGACTTACGTTGACCACGGAGGCTGATCTCCCAAGAAGATGATGATGATGGAGAAGAAGACCAGGAGGGAGAATCTGGCAGAGTTTGGATAAATCCCCGACCTCCCCCCTCCTTCACACACCCCCCGCAAGATCCCCAACAAGGAGACTCGGAAGGAAACAGGTGCAATTCAGGTCCGGCCAGGAACATGGGGTGGGTGGGGTGGATTATTTGCCATCCGGAGGGAAAGGAGAAAAAAAACCCTCCTCCCCCCCTTCTCTCTTGGGGGGGAATGCCTTCCCTTTTTGAAGTCCCCCCGGCAATATTTTTGTAAACCCCCCCCCCCCCTTGCCCCCCCCCAAAATGGTTTTAAATGCTTGGAATCGTTAGTGCACCTTCTAAAATGTGTGCATACTTAATTTGGCGTTGATCTGACTTTTCGTTAATTTTTTGTGAATTTTTTCTCCCCCATAGGAAACAATGGAGCTGTCAGATTTTGACAGCTGTCAAAAGTTGGGGGGAAAAATTCACCATAAATTAACGAAAAGTCAGATCAAAGCCAAATTAACTTTTGCATCCGTTTTAGAGGGTGCAGAAGCTAATCCAAGCATTTAAAACCATTTTTGACCCTTTTATGACACACTTAAATTTGCAAAAATTGACTTCGCAAAGCCATTGAAATGCATTGAGTCAGCTTCAATACATTCCAATGGAGGAAACATTGTATCGTTTAACGATGTTTCCTATGGGTTTTTTCGCTTAAGGACGGCAATCCGTGCCTATTGGAACGGATTAACCAGTTTCCAATGCATTCCTATGGGAAATGGTGTTTCACATAACGATGTTTCACATAACGTTTTTTTTAACCAATTAAAATCGTTATGCGAGGCACCACTGTACACTCATGTCATCTTCTTCTGATTGCTCCACGAGGGTGGAGGGAGGGGTTTCACTTCACTGGGGCTTATTTTGGGGATAGGGTTTACATGACAAGCATCCTGAAAAATCATACTAGGTCAGGTTAGGTCTTATTTTGGGGGAAACAGTATATAATTGTTCAGCTGTTCTGTATTTTTGTGATGGGTTGTGTTTGTTTTAAATTTTTTCTTCTTTTCAATGGGGGTAGCATGGAGAAGGCAATTTAGGGTTAGGTTGTAGATGTGGATGTCAGTCAGTCAATCTATCATGGCATGTGTTTATATGGACACGAGGCCATCATTTTTAAAATGCGCACCTTGGCAATGGCTGAATGAAAGGAGTCTGGGAATAACCGAGAAAAGACAAAGACTGGTATCAGATATCGACACTATCTAAGGCCACAGCATTGTGAACACAATGCAACTGTATTTGCAAATTGAAAATTAAAAATTGTACGCAACGTAAACGTGGATTATAGGATGGATTTCCTATAAGGAATTTGTACTTAGGAGAGGATTCAGTTCATTGCAACCTTCCCTAAAAAAAAGTGACCCTGTCAATGTTCCTTTTTTCTTTTTCTTGAAGAATTTTTACCTTCACTGTACTTTAATTTCTCTGTTCACCACCGAGATGGGTGATATGTAAAAGATTTGTAGTGTGCTTTTATCCATTGAAAAAAATATCTCCCAATAAAACACGATGTGCCATAAAACTCTAGCCGCCTAGAGTGGTGTTTTGGGCCAGATGGGTGGGGTATAAATCAAATAAATAAATAAATAAATAAAATGCCAACCTTTCAGAGACCTTGCGTGGCTACTTGTGATGTCTCCGAGTGGCATTTTGAAAAAGGGTTGTATACTTATTGATCTTTGCCTTCATCTTGCCCATTCATTGATGCAAGATGCCTCCTTATTAATTGTCCATAATTTTTTAAACATGGCTTTTTAATGATTTTAATACTCAATTGTTATCAACTGTAAATAGGGTCTTTCATTGTTGCAATGTCACCTGGGTTCCTTTTCCAGGAGAAAGGCAGAGTAAAGATATAAATAAATTGTATTACAGTCAAGTGGCTGCTCATGGTCAGCCTTTGATCCCAGCAGATCCTGGCAGCCTGCTCAAGACTGACTCAGCCTTCCATCCTGTCAAGGTCAGCAAAATGAGCTCCCAGCTTGTTCGGGGTGAGGGCCAACATGTAGCCTGCCTCATTATATGGTAAACTGCACAGAGAGGGCTTTAAGCGTTGTGGGGAGGTATATAAGCAGCATGCTTTGCTTTGCTTTGCTTCTTGGTTGACGAGAGCACAAGCCAACATGGAAATCCTGGTACAAACCCTAGGTCAGCGGTGTCGTGGATGGAGTGTCAGGTTAAGACCCGGGAGACTCGGGTTTGAATGCCGGCTGGGCCACCAAGACTCAGGGTGTGGGTGGCTGTGGGAAAGCCCCATGTGGACACCTGTACCTCAGGAACCCTATTTGGGGACCCCCCACAAGTTGAACTGTGAACGAAGGAGCTCAGCAAAAACTCTTGTCGTTGAAAAGCTGTTGTCCAGCTTTTGCAGACCCAGGCTTGTGGCTTCTCCCTCCCTGCCAGATTCATATTCAGTGGGGGAAAAATTCCTTTTTTGGAGCCTGACAGCCAGGATTCTCCCCCTGGAGAGAATTGGGAAGATAAGAGATTGGATGCTGTAGCTCCCCAAAAGGGGGCTGGCTGAACCAGTGGCGCCACATAAACACACACACACACACACACAAGAGCAGACGGTGCAGGAGGGAATGAGCCTCGGCCACTTGCCATGGTTTCAGGGTTCCCTGCTCAAACGTTTGACCCACGGCCGCACCCCGCGGGGAGGCAGCTGGCCTTCTAAGGGCCCTCTCTGCAGCCGGAAGGAAATTTCAGAGGACGGTTGCCCTGTCGTTGTCGTACCAGGAGACCTCGGCTTCACTTTTGGCAGGAGGCTGGATCTCGGGCAGGGTGGGGGTGGGTGGCCCAGGGGGCTGAAAGGGAGGGGGTGCCCATCTTCACGGCTGGAAGGGTGCAGATCCCCCCTGCGTGGCTTGCCCACACCCGGAGGCCCTGGGC